CACATACATACACACACACGAACACACGCACACACACACACACACACACACACACACACACACGCACACACACACACATTTATAGCATCTTCATCCTTGCCATGACATCTTTTGTGGCATTCGAAAAAACTTTTGATGTCACTACAACATTTCTGTTCTCTTTTTATTAGTGTAAATTTCAGACCGACAGACAGACAGACAGAAACACGGACAGACTGACAGACAGACAGACACGCTGGCTAGCAGACAGACAGACATGGGTCAGGACAGATTAGTTTACTTACCAAAGACGGAAAAGGAGAATGCAGTCAGACAGATAGACAGACGGACACCCAAGAACAGATGCTATCAAAGACCTCAGTTTTAACCAGCCTATCAGAGTCTTTTGGATTGAGGATCCACCCCGGAAAGTCAAAGCGTTAAGGATAGATGCACAACGAAAGGAGCATGACACAATAGAAAGAAATTCAGTAGGAGACAACGAATGCTTCCGCTCTCTCGGGAGTATAATTGACAGAGAGGGCGGAGTTCTGAAATAAAATCCCGCATCGGAAATGAGCAGGCTGCTTTCATATCTTTGAATAGGGTTTGGAGGACCAAGGATATCTCACTTCGAAAAGAAGCTGAGGATTTTCAACTCAAATGTGAAATCAGCATTTCTGTATGGGTGTGAGACGTGGAATGCACCTTAGACTTGCAAGAAGAGGGTCCAGATTTTCCTGAACAAGTGTCCAAGGAAGCTACTGGGGATCAGATGGACCAATAGGGTCGCCAACGAGGAAGTGTTCAGGAGAACAAGACAGAGACCCGTCAGAGATGAGGTGGGAAGAGGGCGGTGGCGATGGACTGGACATACTCTTAGGAAGTCAGGCAGCTGCATTATAAGAAAATACCATCCCGAAAACAAAACTGATCAATGATCAATAAAATAAACAGCAGCAACAACAACAGCAAAACAAAACCAAAACAAAGCAAAGGAAATCAAAGCAAAACCAAAAAACAAAAAACAGATTGCAACAAAACAAAACAAAAACAGACTCAATAAAGCAACATGTCCAACAATCTGGAATCTGGGAAGTTTATGGTTTATTTCTGTGACAAGTTTCAAGACCGCAGCTTGTACCAATGAATCAGTCCCTCATTTAGCTCTTCTTAAAGTCAGTCATGATTTTTTTCTTTTCTTTTATTAGCCACGAGGCAAGTCAATGTCTCAGCTCCTCACACACAGCTGTCTTTGTGCTCCCTGAATTACAGAAAAGACAAGGACAATTTCATAATAATATATATATATCAATACAGAATGGTTTAGTCAAGAAGTCAGGATAAAGAGTTTTTGTAAAACCAAAATATACCAACACACCAAAGTATTCATTGCCGTTTTCATTCAATCCGTTAATGTGTGTGACACTAAACGCCTTTTTCTACATTTTCACAGGTACTACACTGTCAGGCATGTTTCTTCTAATGGCAATAATAATAATAATAAACAGTTGATTGTCTTTTCCAAATATATATAATTTACTGTTCTCTTTGTCTCTGCCACTCCCCTCTCTTTTTCATTTGCTCTCTCTTTCTCTTTCTCTCTCTCATTCTCTTTGTCATTCAATCTCACTCACTCACGCACTCACACACTCACTCACTCACTCACTCACTCACTCACTCACTCATTCACTCACTCACTCACTCACTCACTGACTCACTCACTCACTCACTCACTCATTCATTCACTCTTTCTCTAGCTCTCTGTATCTCTCTCTCTCTATCTATCTATCTATCTATCTATCTATCTATCTATCTATCTATCTATCTATCTATCTATCTACTTATCTATCTATCTATCTATCTATCTGTATCTCGATCATTACTCCCTCCGTCTCTCTCCCTCTAT